GTGTGTGCGTATGCGTGTGTGCGTGCGCGTGTCTGTGTCTGTGTGTATATATGTGTGTGTGCATGTGTGTGTGTGCATGCATGCGTGTGTGTATGTGTGTGTGAGTGCATGTGTGTGTGTGCGTATGTGCGTGCGCGTGTCTGTGTGTATATATGCGTGTGTGTGTGTGTGTGCGTGCGTGTGCATGTGAGTGTGCGTGTGCATGTGAGTGCGCGCGTGTGTGTGTGTATGCGTGTGTTTGCGTGCATGCGTGTGTGTATGTGTATGTGTGTGTGTTTGTGTGTGTGAGTGCATGCGTGTGTGTGCGTATGCGTGTGTGCGCGTATGCGTGCCTGTGTGTATTTATGTGTGTGTGTGCGTTTGTGTGTGTTTGTGTGTGTGTGTGTGTGTGTGTGTGCGTGCGTGTGTGTGTGTGCGTGCATGCGTGTGTGTGTGTGCGTGCATGCGTGTGTGTGTGTGTGTGTGGGCTCTAAATATCTCGTGAACTACAGCTCTGTAAATGTATTCATCAGAGAAACGTCTACAGCTTATTTCTTTTCTTGGCATCAATTCAATTCAAGATGGCTGACATGGGTAAATATAAATAATAATATAAATAAAAATAAATAAAAAATGTCTGAAACCCTAAACGTTACAGACTTGGAGCTGAGCGTCGCTGCCAGGGCGGTCTAGCTGCAAACCCATGAAGGCACTTTCAGTACTTGGTTTAAAACTCTCGCAGGAATCCAGAATTCCCTCCAAGGAATTACAGGAATTTTGCTACTACGGTAATGGAGTAACTGAAGCTTGCTAAGCAGAATGAAACCATGAAGATTCAAATAAACACAGGAGGAATTATTGTTAAAGGTTCCATATAATACCGTTTTAAACCTTAGAGAGCAACCTTGAGATGTCATTTATCTTAAATACTAACGATTATTTAGTATTTATACCTGGAACTAAAACGCGTTGTTTCAGTGAAACTCCGCCCACACGGTTCTGACAGAACGTGCCTGTAGCGTCTTAGCAGAGCCAGTTGCTGAATCGGCTATGGTAGTCCAGTGGTTAGCATGTGCACCTGAGCACACTAACCACTGGACTACCGAGTCTGCTTCATGACACCAGTCGCCTAAGCCACATATTGTGTGTTAGCCAGGGGAGACAGGCTTCAGACCAGAGATAGCTACTGGGACAGGAGCAGGGCCTGACGACGAGACTAGATTCAATTAAGGCTTTACAGGATTTTCAAAGTAAAACTCTAAATTTGCAGCTGAAACAGGAAAATGCATGAATGCAGCCCAAAAAACGGGTTGTGTTTTTTTTCTCATGAGGAAATATCAGTATCACATGGTAAAACATGGATTTTCCATGATATGGCCCCTTAAAGTTTAATTCCCTACATCTGAAACTGGATATTTACACGATCAGCAAGAATCAATAAACAAAAGTTACACTAAAGATGAGCCAGCCACATCGATGGTTGTCAGTACGAAACTCCACCAGAGTGTTTCTGAGGACTGACAAACAGAACCCAACCCTCGGGTCGACTTCAGTTTTTTTGCACATTTAAAAAAACACAAAGTAAAAAACAGAAAGACATTTTATGGCTGCTTTCAAGGCTCCACATAAAGCTGCAGCTCAAACATAATCTTTTCATCACTCTCACCACAAACGGGTCCGTAAAGACCAAGAGGGAGCTCTAAATGACGGCCTGACTCCGACGCAAACCTGATGCTAATTCAAACATTAGAAAACGGCATAAATGAGCTAATAAAACACTTCCTGTGTGAGTGCGCAGAGCTGCCTTGTACCATGAAATCAAAGATGTTTTAACTCATAGAGAAGGTTTGACTAAAGCTGAGTCTGCAGGTATTAAAAAAATAACAGATGAAGTATATTTATCAGTATACTGATACATGTTTCATGTGAAAACACACCCAGAGCCCTCAGTAAAACATACATAAAAAGCTAAAGATCAAGTTCACAGAGAAACTGATCTTTTTTACTGGTTATTTAGAAATATGGTCGGCCACTCTGAGCTCAACATGCAGACTGAACATGAGAATAGTCTCCTACACCTATCTCCTGCATTAGTCGCTGATGGAAAACAGACGGGGAGACGCTCAGATTAGAAAAGCCTGTTATTATAACTATACGAAAAACAACCCCAACCCTAACCATCTCAATAATAAACAGACTAAAGTTTTATAAACCACTGATACTAATGTATTATTGTGCTTATTATAATGGACAAAAGGGTAGTCTGTCAGAAAAACAAATACGTACATCCATTCATTTTTATCCAAAGTCGGGTCACGGGGGCAGCAGCCTAAGCAGAGAGACCCAGACTTCCCTCTCCCCAGCCACTTGGGCCAGCTCTTCTGGGGGAATCCCAAGGTGTTTCCTGGTCAGCCGAGACACATAGTCCCTCCAGAGTGTCCTGGGTCTTCCTCTAGGTCTCCTCCCAGTTGGACGTGCCCAGAAAACCTCCCCAGGGAGGCGTCCAGGAGGCATCCTGACCAGATGCCCGAGCCACCTCTGGCCACCTATTCCCTCCTCTGGCCACCTTTGCCGCCCTCTGGCCACCTACTCCCTCCTCTGGCCACCTTTGCCCCCTTCTGGCCACCTACTCCCTCCTCTGGCCACCTTTGCCCCCTTCTGGCCACCTACTCCCTCCTCTGGCCACCTTTGCCCCCTTCTGGCTACCTACTCCCTCCTCTGGCCACCTTTTCCCCCTTCTGGCCACCTACTCCCTCCTCTGGCCACCTTTTCCCCCCTCTGGCTACCTTTGCCCCCTTCTGGCCACCTACTCCCTCCTCTGGCCACCTTTGTCCCCTCTGGCCACCTTTGCCCTCTTCTGGCCACCTACTCCCTCCCCTGGCCACCTTTGCCCCCTTCTGGCCACCTACTCCCTCCTCTGGCCACATTCGCTTCCTCCACTCCAGAGGTCGACGCCTCCTCCACTCCAGAGGTCGACGCCTCCTCCACTCCAGAGGTCGATGCCTCCTCCACTCCAGAGGTCGACGCCTCCTCCACTCCAGAGGTCGACGCCTCCTCCACTCCAGAGGTCGACGCCTCCTCCACTCCAGAAGTCGACGCCTCCTCCACTCCAGAAGTCGACGCCTCCTCCACTCCAGAAGTCGATGCCTCATCCACTCCAGAAGTCGACGTCCCGTCCAGGTCGACGTCTCCCCCTCCAGTCCAGAGGCCGACGTCTCCCCCTCCAGTCCAGAGGCCGACGTCTCTCCCTCCAGTCCAGAGGCCGACGTCTCCCCCTCCAGTCCAGAGGCCGACGTCTCCTCCTCCAGTCCAGTGGTCTGTGTTCCTGTGGGCGTCTGGGATCCGCCCTTTTGTCACACCCTGTCTTGTCTCCCCATTCTGTTCTGTCATGTGTCTCTGTTAATTGCTCCCACCTGCCTCTCGTTTTCCAATCACCCAAAATCCCAGCCCTCATGTATTTAAACCCCTTCAGTTCTATGTCACCTGTTGGTTCATTGTTTCATTGTCCAGCGTGTGTTCTACATTAGAGACTTTTACTCGTTCTGGTTTGTCTGCCTGCCTGCCTTCCTCACCCGCATATGGATCCTCGCCTCCGCTTCACTCACCGCTGCGTTGTGACATTAGTGTTTAGTTTGCTTTTGTGGGCATTATGCTCACCCTGATTATTATCCTCTCTTATCCTTAGTTTAAACTATTATATATATATATATATATATATATATATATATATATATATATATATATATATATATATATATACATACATACATACAGTGGGGCAAAAAGGTATTTAGTCAGCCACCGATTGTGCGAGTTCTCCCACTTAAAATGATGACAGAGGTCAGTAATTTACATCATAGGTGCACTTCAACTGTGAGAGACAGAATGTGAAAAAAAAAACATGAATTCACATGGCAGGATTTTTAAAGAATTTATTTGTAAATCAGGGTGGAAAATAAGTATTTGGTCACTTCAAACAAGGAAAATCTCTGGCTCTCACAGACCTGTAACGTCTTCTTTAAGAAGCTTTTCTGTCCTCCACTCGTTACCTGTATTAATGGCACCTGTTTGAACTCATTATCTGTATAAAAGACACCTGTCCACAGCCTCAAACAGTCAGACTCCAAACTCCACTATGGCCAAGACCAAAGAGCTTTCGAAGGACACCAGGAAAAGAATTGTAGACCTGCACCAGACTGGGAAGAGTGAATCTACAATAGGCAAGCAGCTTAGTGTGAAAAAATCAACTGTGGGAGCAATTATCAGAAGATGGAAGACATACAAGACCACTGATAATCTCCCTCGATCTGGGGCTCCACGCAAGATCTCATCCCGTGGGGTCAAAATGATCATGAGAATGGTGAGCAAGAATCCCAGAACCACACGGGGGGACCTGGTGAATGACCTGCAGAGAGCTGGTACCACAATAACAAAGGTCACCATCAGTAACACACTACAACGGCAGGGAATCAAATCCTGCAGTGCCAGACGTGTTCCGCTGCTCAAGCCAGTGCATGTCCAGGCCCGTCTGAAGTTTGCCAGAGAGCACATGGATGATACAGCAGAGGATTGGGAGAATGTCATGTGGTCAGATAAAACCAAAGTAGAACTTTTTGGTATAAACTCAACTCGTCGTGTTTGGAGGAAGAAGAATACTGAGTTGCATCCCAAGAACACCATACCAACTGTGAAGCATGGGGGTGGGAACATCATGCTTTGGGGCTGTTTTTCTGCTAAGGGGACAGGACGACTGATCCGTGTTAAGGACAGAATGAATGGGGCCATGTATCGTGGGATTCTGAGCCAAAACCTCCTTCCATCAGTGAGAGCTTTGAAGATGAAATGTGGCTGGGTCTTCCAACACGACAATGATCCCAAACACACCGCCTGGGCAACAAAGGAGTGGCTCCGTAAGAAGCGTTTGAAAGTCCTGGAGTGGCCTAGCCAGTCTCCAGACCTCAACCCCATAGAAAATCTGTGGAGGGAGTTGAAAGTCCGTGTTGCTCGGCGACAGCCCCAAA